TTCTGGGCATGACATGATGTCATCCCTGGCATGACATGACGTCATCCCTGGGCATGGCATGATGTCATCCCTATCAAAACATGATGTCATCCCTAGCATGACCTGACATCATCCCGGGCATGACCTGATGTCAATTCTGGCATGACATGATGTCATCCCAGGGAAGGGACATGATGCCTGGGCATGTCACGATGTCATTCTGGGCATGACCCTGGCGTGACCTGATGTCATCTCTGGCATGACGCAAAACGAAGCGCTGATCCAGAGGCAGCGCCGGCACCAGCACCAGCACGGCACCAGCGCCAAACAAAACGCCGATCCAGCACCAGCACCAGCACCAGCACCAGCATGACAGGCGCACCCGCAAAAGGAAACGCCGATCCAGAGCCAGGGCCAGCACCTGCACCAGCATCGGCACGGCAGCAGCGCCGGCAAAACCAAAACGCCGATCCAGATCCACACCATTGAGAAGTTGGAACCCTTATAGCCTGCAGCTATCTGGGGAAAAAGGACAGAACTGTTGGACAGCTTGAATTTAGGTGCAAAGTATGTAATTAGCTTGTTTTTGCACGCAAAAATAGAACTACATTGATCGAAATGGCCTGAGTCAAAAGTGCTGAGACTACCTTCGATTGCAATATGTTGCGAGGAAAACCTGTGCAGCATGCCCTTCACTTTGGCCGTTTAAAAGAGATCAGAATAGGTACTTTAGTAGACGGGCTCCCTTGCAGGCTTAGTGAGTTCCTTGCCTCCATACCAATCTGCCCTGCTGACTGTCCCATTCACCAGGCTTCTTGGTCATCGGATGAGAAAAATGGCAATATTCACCTCGCAAGAAACCCGAGAGAATCTCTCACACTGGCTTTGCAACAGGATTCTGTTTATCGAGGGGTCTAGGGCCCTTCGCAGGGAGAAAGCTGGTTGATCCACGTGAGGCAAGCTATATATGACAGGACCGGAACGACCGGACTCCAAAACTGGTGACAGCACATGAGCCGAGGTGGATCATGATGTCATACCCATGACTATGCCATATGGTTGGAGACGGAGACTTGAAGACAAATCACTTGTTCACAAAAGAGCTCAGAAAGGGTCCTGCAATGATCATGTCACATAAACTGTTTCTTATGGTTGTTTTCCTGAAAAAGCAAGCCCCCAAACAACAGTGACCAGTCTAGCCGAGGGTTAGACCAAGGTCCTGTCCGCATCTCCCCCTGAGCCGTCAAAGCGCCTACTGCTAGGTGGGGAAATTAGTGCCTCTTTCGAGGAGTAGATACCCCACACAAACCTACTAGTATGGAAGAACACCAAAACGCCACCTCTGGTCGTCACCTGGGCCATCCGGCAACCAGCTCCAGCGCTACATGCAGTGAGCTTCGCTCCACCGGCATTGAGTGCCATGAAGATACAGGGCACGCAATTCGGATGTTTCGCGCTGCCTGACACCCGAAGGACCCAGAAACCATTCCAAGGTCATCCAAAAGGTAGACCACAGGGACTGTTCAACCGAGTTTTGCTGAGATGCATGGGCTGCATGGACTGGATCCCTTTCGTTTGATACACATCAAATGATATGACGGAGCAGTTTTGGTGAGATCTATATATATATACATATGTGTATATATATATATAGTTACTGAAAGCGACGGGCCATGCTGGACCCTCATATTGTCGCCAGCCGTTCCAAACTCTGCGACCACACGATACCACACACCTCCCTGAAGTAGGTTCTACACAGCAACTTCAGCTGTCCTAGCCTAATACGAACTCTATCTGGCGCCCTGGGACTGCAGTCTCGCATCAATCCAGTGACTCATCGGTCCCAGGTGAAGGCAACTCCATGTTCTATCAGCAGTGAGGCCATGTGAAGATTGAGACAACATAGTCTGCCATGAGCCCCATGGCAACAACATCTATGTGAGAAGAACTGAACATGTCCATCTACTCCGCAGTCTCAATTGCAACCAGATGATAGACAAACGAAGTGTACCTTCCAGGAAGTGCTGTCAAGTCCCAGAGGCTTGGGGCCATAGCTATTAGGTTAGAGGCCATCGCTATTAGGTTGGAGGCCATCCCTATTGAGTCTATTAGGTTGTAGGCCCCTGCTAGGTTGGAGGCCATCGCTACAAGGTTGGAGGCCATCGCTATTAGGTTGGAGGCCATTGCCATTAGCTTGGAGGCCGTGACTAGTAGTGGAGGCCATCCCTACTAGGTTGGAGGCCATTTCTAGTAGGTTGGAGGCCATCACTATTTGGTTGGAGGCCATCGCCAGTAGCTTGGAGGCCGTTACTAGTAGGTTGGAGGCCATCGCTACTAGGTTGGAGGCCATTTCTAGTAGGTTGGAGGCCCTCACTATTTGGTTGGAGGCCATCGCTATTAGGTTGGAGGCCATTGCTAGTAGGTTGGAGGCTATCGCTACTTGGTTGGAGGAGGCCATTGCTATTAGGTTGGAGAAGTCCTGTCAAGTCGCAGGGGCTTGGGGCCATCCAATGCACCAACTCACCCGGTGGTATCTGCCTTTGGATGTGATGATACCGTCCGGGACTTTGGGAGTGCCGTTGTGTCGTCCTGGTGAGGGTGGTCAGGGTGGCCGCACTGCTATCCATTTTGTTTGCGTTTACGAGAAGAAGGCAGTGGTATGGCAGTGGTAGCGGACAGCATAAGTGAAGATGTTGAAGCTGGCTAAAGGGTTCAAGTGCGTATTCTTTGGGACAAGACCTTGCAACCTTCACTCCAGGAAAAATCATGAAAATCAACCCTCCTGTTCATGAAAGGATTATGTGTTCGGAAATTCTTTCTTTTGCGGATGCCGCACGCATATCGGTTCCTCCTCCATCTGCTGAATCTCTCTGCGGGTTGGCCTGGTCCTCCACATCTACAGCTCCACCTCAGTGTTTGGTGTGAACGAATCTTCCTCGGAAAGGTGAACAGTGGACCTAAAGAAGAAACAAAAATGCGTGTGGCAACTTTGATGCCACGCAAATGCACAAAACCACTTTACCACACTACCCCCAAACAGTTCAGCTGGATGGGATCAATCGAATGCCCGCCTGTCTCAATGGGAGGCTCATCAGAGGACTCGGAGATGGTAGGAAGTCCGGTTTGAATGGCCGAGATGGTCCTGAAAATAGCAACTCCTTCCGATGATCAATCCGCTGACAAGTCACCTTTTTGAGATTGCCATGATCTACTTGGTAGACCCATGACCTACCAAAATGGGTCATGGTCCTGGCAGGCAAAGTGCACTACTTTTCCCTTCTCCAAAAAACCTGCGAAAAGTCTCTGATCTGCCTACTACTCCAAAAAACAAAGAGGCGTGGAAGAGCCTGCAACATTCATTCTTGGCACTTGGCACGTGCCAGTTTGGTCAATATCTGGTGGGGACACACAGTGCCGAGCCCCAGATCAGTCCTGGACGGGTGCACAAATGTTGGCGTCACATCGCTAGGCCGAGGGGTCATTGTGAGGCCCTCCGCCGTGCACTTCTTTGATCGTTCGACGTTCGAGCGAAGAAACTGAATGCTTAAAAGTGCTCACAACAAAATAATCCTTCTACTGAATGTCAGTGGTTCCCCTGATTCTCTGAAAGCTGTTCACCAATCCTTTCGGAACCTCCTTGACTAAAGGTTCCAGCTACGCCGCACACAACAGTTCCCACGTGGCAGAAACTGTGAGTACTGCTGGAGCCAAGTATCCAATGCGAGGTCAGGTCGATATACTGTAGCAAGCAGGAAGTGGAAACGTTTACAAAATTATATATATATATACATGTGTAAAAAATGAAGTGGACAACTCCTCGGGTAGATCTGCAAACAATAACCCCAGCCCACGAAGTGGAACAAGGGTAGTACAAGCAGAGGTAATGACCACCTTACGTGGTGGGGTGTTGACACGACGAGGAGTACCCGAGCACTTATAGTCCCCGTGGTGTCAATGGAGTGCGAACGAGTGGAGCGCTTTACGGCAACCTAACGAAAGCACGGCGCGAACAGGCAAAGGTGGGTGCGACGAGCGAAAGCGAAGGAAACACCCTGAAACGCACGGCGGATGCGCATGTTTCTTAAACCAAACGTAGTGTCGGTGCGAAAGAGCATGTCGAACACCGAACTACCTGAGCCTGTACATGACCTCAACAACATAGCATGACAAGTTAGGGGTCGATACATGGTTGGCTTTGCGTGCAGAATCTCGACTCCCCCCTCGGAGGATGAGCAGATTGCTCAATGGGGCAGGTGGCTCGGCGGAACCAGCTGCTGTGCTTAGGAGGGGCACTCATACCTACTGGGGTCTGAAGGGGCGAGACTAGAGCTCGTAGGTTGGTTAGACATGGTTAGACCTACGGCTGATAACCAATGAAATGGACAAGTCCTCGAGTAGTAAGCAAAGCTAGTGACCACCTTAGGTGGTGGCGACGAGGGGTAGGTGTGACGAGCGAAAGCGACGGAAGCACCCTGAAACGCGGGCACGCACGTTCCTTGAGCCAAACAGAATGTTGAGAAGTTAGGGGTCTATACATGGTTGGCTTCGCATGTAAAATCTCGACTTCAAAACTTCCAAAACCAAGGCAGGGCCATTGGGCAGCCGCTCATGCTAGGAAACTCGTGTGTGTGTGTGTGTGCGCGCGCCAGAACGAAGACTTGGAGCTGTCTCAATGACCACAATCGTTCCGACCCTCCAAAAAGTGTCAGGCGACTGGAAAAATCAAGGTCTTGGAAGCAGGAACAAGGTTGAACCTGGGTATCTGCAGTATCCTAGAACAGTTCCTTTGTGGTGACAACTCAAACCTCGCCCTGAACCTTCCAAAACCTCTTGAGACCCTGAGGACGGGATCGACATGGAGTCTATGGAATTTTGGGTCATGTGCCTCTCCACCTTTCAGCCTCCAGCCATTCCAGGGTGAGGTTGCTCTTTGGGCGTTCCAACCAAGCTGATGGGTGGTCAGTCGCTCGGATCGTGAAGTACCGTGGCTCAGCTCGTCGAGGCTTGTCAAGGCTCCCGGCCATGTCTGTGATGCTCCGGGTTTTGGACCAGTCAGTGATGGTCCGAGTGATCCCCTTTTTCGTAGCCTGGAGCGGCTGATGCAACCAACAGCCAACAGGGTTGAGCTTGGACGTCCTCAGTCCTCAAATAGCCGTAAAAACAGGTCCTTAACATCCTCCGGAGCATTTACACACAGCTTGCCAAGTGGGAAACCATAGTAAATCCAAACAACCCCTGAAGAACAAGTGTTGTTTTCGGGACTGTAGTCATCCTCTGAGGCGTCTCTATGGTTGTTATTTTGCCACCAGCTGGTAACAGTAGATCAGAATGCATTGATGGCAGCCAGTCAATAGCACGCTACACCCACGAAATTAATTTGCCAGCCTTGTTCACATCAAAGAACTTAAAGTCTATGTTTTCATCAAAGTGGTTCCTGAGCTGATGGCAGCTTCAAGGCATCAACCTGTCACCCTTGTCACCTGGGGAACCAACCGTCAAGGCGCGCAATTCAAGAATCCCCATTCGTCTTGCAGCACCACCTGACCCAAGGACCTTTGAGAAGGGATATGAACGGCTTGCTACATTTACACGTGTCAGCATCCAGTCTATGGTGGATTTGTCACGTGCACAAAGAAACTCCAAGTTAATTAGGGTCACAGACGCGCCACGCGCGCAATGTCTATATATATATATATATGCATATATATATATATATACGGGCCTACATTGACGATGCGTATTTGTGGCACCGTCTCCAAGCTATTGCCACACGTGAGAAAGCCCAAGTCACCAAGCTGTGGGGCAGTCTCAATGGGCAGAAGCTTAAATTAACGATGCCAAGTCCACCATTTGGGGCACATCCGACGCTAGACATGCCTTTGAAGTTTTGCCAGGCATGAAGCACCCGCATATATACTGATAAAAATGATTTTGGGTTCACTGATGCGACACTGCAGAGACTGTATTGGAGCACTCCCGCTTCCGAAAGTCAAAAAGGTCTTTCTTGATCAAAGCCATCCCAGTCACATTCAGAGCTCAGTGGTCGGAGATTTGTGGCGAGGACGCCCCATGGCTAGGTCCAAATGGATAGCGCAACTCTTTCATGGCTATGGCTCACCATATTGAACTGATCCAAGACTTGCGCCTTTTGTTGCATCATCGATCCTTTTAGATGGTGTTTCGATCGCCCAGCCAGAGTAATACAGCTTCGTGCTTTGTGGCCTCATCGTCACCAACTAAAATGTTCTTTGGTGCGCAATTTCGATGATGCCTGTTGCACCGTTGGCTTCGATGTCAATGCGCAGTTTCAGGTGTTTGGTACTATGATTCCAGACCACTTCAGCTGGGTTTATGTGCACCCCGTGATGTCGCATTTGGGTTAAAGCACAAATTGCTAGACAGTGTGCATATGAGTCCCCCAATATCACTACGAGGAAGGACGGACTTCTGCAGACCGACGTTCCAAACGCCGTCCTTCCCCACGGCTACCATTCGGTTCGAACCTGTGTTGGGTCAATTTTTCTTTGCTTGGACATGCCGGACATCCATTCTGCCTCACTCAATTTCGCTTGCAGCATGAGCACGCCCCATGCGAGCATGCTACCGTGACTGATGGCTCGGTTCTTTGGCAAGAAAGTTTTTGGCTAACCACGGCCGCCTATGCTGTTGTCATGTTGGACGGGTTAAGCTATGGGGCCTGTCCAGCTATGTGGGTGAACTATGGCCAGTTCTAAATCCTCATCTCCTCCACTGACAATTTATTGCGATGACAAGGCTGTGGCGCGGAACTTGCTTCACCTCATGCATACAGGTTGCGTTAAACCGGACCACTATGGTTCAATGGATTCCGGCTCACCTCTTTGAGGGCATGGAAGCACGGCAGCTTGATCCTAGGGAGGTTGATAGAGTAGGATCTACAAAATTGAGCATGTCCTGCGCAATCGAGACGCTGACAATGCAGCTAGAGAGTGTGCTGCCCGAATCTCTCCGGTCTTTCCGCACATGCCAAAGACCATGTTTGCTGCCGCTACACTTCATCAAGAATGGCTGGTCCGCTTACACTGCCATTACGACGCTGATGCGGTTGCAGAGATTCATACTCAAGACAGTGCTCTTCGAGCCCATGAATTGACGCTTGATACTACCCGCTGAGCTTTTCCCAAGTGGGACTGGTGTCCCATCAATGCGCTCTATTCTTGGAAGCCAAAGATTCTTGTGGACATTGATCCACCGAAGAGGTGGAAGTACACCAAAGCTGAATGGGAACACGATTTGCAAGTTTGCCCGTACCCTCCCATGGAAACAAGAGCACGGTGCCCGATCGCTTTTTGTGAACTTGGAGCTGCATTGCATTTTTGCAGGTGATTACTCGACGGTCCCATTCACTCGGTGGCCTGCAAAATCCGCCAAGCATTCCGATTTCTTTTGAAAGGCGAAAAAGTACAACCCCGCCCAGGGAATGTCAATGCCAGCTTTGTGAAATCGGCTGGCAGAACCCTTTACCAAAGTGCGATCGTTGATGTCTCTCCATTGCTGGCTAGCGCGACTTGCGGTCCCTGTCCGTCACGGCCTTCCATTGCTGGATAACAACATCCTGTTGCCCTTGGCGAGAACTTTACACGCCGGCTCAGGACGCACGATTAAATCATGGCGGGTCCCCGTCATTTCTTGGTACAGCAGGTTTGTTGTTCCCTCCCCTAATGACCACCTGTGCATGAGGATAGACCAGAGAGTCTGCCATACCGTCGACGCGGATCAGACCGTTCGATGAGCAAGGTATTTACATGTGCATAAATGTAGCAGTTACAGCATATACGTACATCAAGCTCTCCAGACCTTCGGAAGTGGAGGCTACCCCAAAGGTCTCCAACGTGGCTGTGTGCATTGAAAGCCACACGTGAGCTCATGAGGCCGGCTGAGCCTGTTCTGACTCCAGGGTATCACTCCCCTCAACAAAGAAGAACAAAGGAATCACGCCTTCCCTGCAACATGCACAAATGTCATAATCGCAATGGTGATATGATTGATACCAGCAACGTGACTCATATGACATGTCCAGTCTTCATTGGTCATTGGTGGTGCATGATTCACCATAATTCATCATAAGTCAAGGTTCTTCCACATTGTGCCACTCTTGATCACCTTGTTGGGCAGCTTCCCCTGCGCGGTGTGCCCATCAATCATTCGAAGGCGGAACTGGTGCAGTGTATCTCCACAACGGTTGTCACGAAAGATATCCGTGGTACTCAAGGGAACATTCAGTACCCAACGTGTCAGAAAGTTCAGTGTAAAGTAGGTCCTGTACATTGGCATGAGTCTTGGAACATTCGGCTCTCACTGAAAGCAACCTCCATGCGGCCAATCTTTGATCGCCTGGGCCTATTCCGTGGGTGTCGGGCTGTGATCTAACAGGTAGCAAACTACTTGTTGCCTTACGGAACATCCTGGTTTCTTGGGATTCTTCCTGAAAGTCGTTCTTTAGCCTTGAAGCAGTCGCAATCCCATGAGCAACTCTAGTGTCTCAACTTGTCACGTCGAACCGGGCGCATCCCGCACCTTCACTTCCATGAAAAGCCTCAACATGTCATTGTTGGTCCTGCAAAGAGAGTGACACCAAAGTGGTATACTTATGCTGCAAGTTATGCCCACGGCTCACCGCGTGCCCCCAGGAGCTTTGAGGGGGCCAAACACAAGGGGCTTTGGGCCATTGGGTGTCAGTCAAAGACTTTTGGCATCGGGTTTTGGAGATAGGATGATGGAGACTGCATAACTATAATTAGCATCAGGACACTTTCCCTGTGCACAACAGCCACCACATACACTAATCTGAAATTGGTAGCTATGATTGCAGGACCTTGGTTCAATGAGTCAAAAACACTACTGTAAGGGCCTGAAACAGACTAGAAAGTTGACTTGCCAACAAACGCACTGAACATGAGCCTTGCAGTGGGGAAAGCTGACTCGAATAGTGATCTGAAATAAAGGTTGCGCCCCATTCACCAGTCTTTCTAAGCTGTCAAGGGCTCTCTTTAGATGTACCTTGCCTGTCCACCCGGAAACACTTCTAGATCTTGTACATTGCCTCGTTACACTAACAGTGAGCACAAACAAAACCACAAAAAAACGCACAACAGAGAATTCAAAAATCATTGTTTTTTTGAATCTGGAAGCTGATCCAAGCACAAATTCCCAAACTCCCCTGACAGAACCAAGGCATTTTTTCTAGGAAGCTGGATTCAGTGTCTTTGTTCACTGGGCATCCTCAGCCAGCCAGTCTCACACACACAGTGTCACATATAGAGGTTTTCATTTTCGGTTCTTCAACACCTTGATTGGCTGGGTTTCTATGGATGTCGCTGGCTGGCTGGCTGGCTGGCTGGGCTGCCTGGCTGGGCTGGCTGCCTGGAGGACGGCCCTGCCTTACAAAAATAAAAGTAAACGGGTGCCCATAGCCCACCAGAAAAAGCACAACTGCCAGGTCATTTTGTCCAGGCAAAACAACCTGAACCCGCAGTTGTGGTTTTTTTTGTGTTTTTTGTTGTGTTTTTTTTGTGCTATGTTGTCCTCGGAGTTGTGGTTTTTTTGTGCTTTTGGTTGTGTTTTTTTGTGCTATGTTGTCCTCGGAGTTGTGGGTTTTCTTGTGTTTTTTTTGTGCTATGTTGTCCTCGGAGTTGTGGTTTTTTTGTGCTTTTGGTTGTGTTTCTTTTTGTGATATGTTGTCCTCGGAGTTGTGGGTTTTCTTGTGTTTTTTTTGTGATATGTTGTCCTCGGAGTTGTGGTTTTTTTTTGTGCTTTTGGTTGTGTTTTTTTTGTGCTATGTTGTCCTCGGAGTTGTGGTATTTTTTGTGCTTTTTGTTGTGCCTTTTTTTGTGCTATGTTGCCCTGGGAGTTGTGCTTCCTGTTGTGAATTAAAAGTAAATGTAGCAGCCTTCACAGAGGACACACAAAACAATCAAAGTGGCTTATAGTTTACCCTGGGCTGTACAACCTGAACCCGCAGTTGTGGTTTTTTTTGTGCTTTTTGTTGTGCTTTTTTTGTGCTATGTTGTCCTCGGAGTTGTGGTTATTTTTTTGCTTTTGGTTGTGCTTTTTTCTGTGATATGTTGTCCTCGGAGTTGTGGGTTTTCTTGTGCTTTTTTTTGTGATATGTTGTCCTCGGAGTTGTGGATTTTTTTGTGCTTTTGGTTGCGCTTTTTTTGTGATATGTTGTCCTCGGAGTTGTGCTTTTTTTTGTGATATGTTGTCCTCGGAGTTGTGGTTTTTTT